CCCCCCCCCCCCCCCATCCTTTCATACACCCACAGAAGAGATATTGAAAAGTTTGGGCTGAGCACTCTCAGCTCTCAGTGAAATCAGTAGGAATGGACAGCTCTTAGCCTGCTACACACCCCATTGCTAAAAACCTGACCATTTTTTTCTCTTATACTTCCCAAATGGCTTTACTTTTCTTTTCATTCTTCTCTCTTTGTCCCTTTGGAAATGTCTTTTCTGCCACCTACATTCACTGCCTGTTTCAATTACTAGTGCTACAAAGGGCTTGAGGTAGGAATGAAAAAAAGGAAGGTTGGGTAGTTTTTCACATTAAAATTCTTCCTGAAATGTCTGACAGGATTTTAAATTGTTTTTCTCAAACTTTCCTGGTAATAAAAATGGAGTTCAATCAGCTTTTATGCCCTGCTTTTATCAGTTGTTTTGTGCTTCTTGTGTGATAAATCTTGGTAATTGGCATCTGACAATCCCCCTCCTCCACCATCATTCCCCACCTATGACAGGCCAGCTATAGTTAGGAACAGCTGCTTAAATAATGATTGTGACACTGTGGACAAATCCCAAACTGACAAAGTTCTATTAATCCAGTGGGCTAAAGTCATCTGGTAAAGTTCCCTGAGCATTTCATATTGCATTCTGCACTAAACAGGCAACAAACTGAAACATGGTTTGATTTCCCTACTGTTAAACCTTTAAAGCTGTATACTGCCCTTAGTAAGAACATATAGTTACTGATGCCAATAGGAGTTGTATGCATGCATTGATATGACCAGTGTATGGTTCTGAGCTTAAGCTGGTTTTCCACTGATGCTAAAAGAGAAAAGTGACAGCAGCTGCAGACCTTTGACACATGAGCCACCATATTTGAAACAACGTGATCTCATTTCACATACCCATACTGCTATGAAGAGGGACCGTGGCCTTATAAATGATCACTAGTGTATGGGCATAAGCTAGGAAAGTAAACCAAAATAAACTCTTACTCATCCATGCATCAGTCCTGGGGTTTTTCCTCTATATTGAAGGAGATTTGGGGGTTTTTTTGCAAAACACAGATTCTTGCACCTGTGACTATTGCCACGGTGGTTTAAAATAAATTTTATTATTCTGTGTACCTAGGAGAGATGAACAACTTAAACTAATTGGAGATCACAATGTTGCTAGTAGAATTCCCTTCCTTTCTATTAGACTGAATCAATGCCATCTGTCTATGCATTACTGATATCACTTGCTAGCAGGAAATGTTATCCTGCTAGATGAAATGCAAATGAAAAATATGTCCCTTGATGGACTGGCATTAGTGAAGAAGAAGAATAAGAAGAATAGATGGGCAGCCACTGTGCACGGTAGCTGCAAAACAGGTATTCATTACTCCTTGGCTTTTGAGAAAATGCTGATGGACTCCTGATAGAAAAACCCAAACATGTTAAATACTGAGCCTGTTCCCCTGACCTTGGAGGTACTATTCAAATAAGTAAAGTTACTCTGATATATATAATGTCTCTGTGTGTGTGTGTGTGTGTGTGTGTTTGCAGTAATGGCATCAGGCCATTTAAGGTGTTTATGCATCTGCTTTATCATTTAATCTAAATAAAAATATTGTACACACTCTCATAAAAGCAGAAATCTTTAATCTATAAGTTCAATTTTTCAAAAAAATTCAGCTTTTCACTATTCTCCCACTTTAGTTTTTGTTAAATTTTATGTAATTAATAAGTAATTATTAACTATACTTTTTTAACTGAACCATTAAAAAAATACTACAACAGTATTTTAAGATTTGATGGTGCTTTAGCACTACCTTTACTGAACATAATAGGAATGCTGATTCTGATAAATCATGCATATGAATATTCTTTAACATTCATTCAGAAAGATTTGTCTAGTGCTAAAAAGAAATATTACCTTGTAGTTTTGTCTGCGTAAGGAAGGGAGACACAAGGTTGATTTATGATACACAATATTTTTATTCTGTATAAGAAAATCTGAATGTTTAGACTGATTTTTAAATTATGGATATTTATTGATCAGAACAATATTTATAGATGTGTTTCTTTGCTTGTTATTGATAAATATGCTTTCTTTCAGCTCAGAGAATCATTTAAAGATCTCAAAAAGAAATTCAACAACCTAAAATTTAATTATACTAAGAAAACTGAAAAAGCTCGAAATCTGAAAGTACTTAAAATACAGATTCAGCAAGTCGATATGTATGCTGAAAAAATGCAGGTAATAGTAATAGTTGAAATACTATGATTTCTATTAACAGAAGATCAGACTAGATGGAAAATACAATGAAACCATCCCTTTCCCCTCATCTTTCTTTTGTATCTCTGACATTTCCTCCCTACCTTCCCTCTAGTAGCTGGATGACCACTAGGACTGTGTGAATCTTTGGGTGTTGTTTTGATTCGGAGGAGATTTGGCCTGGTTTGCCAGCCGAATCTCTGAATCTGAATCGAATCAGGAGATCAATAAAAAGGTCCGAATTGATTTGAAACTCTCTGAGATTCCGGCAGTCCCCACTCACCACTAAGTAGTGGGTGGGAACAGGGGGGCTGGAGGAGTGGGGGCTGGACGAGCCCTGTCAATGGCTGCCCCACCTGGCCCCAGCATTCCAGCTTTTTTTAAAAAAAAAAAGCTTCACACTCACCAGCTGCTGCAGCAGTCATCGGGGCTTCTGGAGGCTTGTGGCAAAGCCTCCCACACAGCACAGAACAGTGGGCAGCAGCAGGGATCACCCCCCCCCCCACACACACACACACACACCCAGTAGCAACCGGTAAGTATGGGGCTTTAAAAAAAAAAAATGTGCTGGGCCACTAGGGCCAGGTGGGACAGCCATTGACAGGGCTGGGAGAGTGGGCAGGGGTTGTGGGGTTTGTGGCAGAGCCCCTCATGCAGCGTGGGGCAGTGGGAGGCAGTAGAGATCAGCCCACTCTGCCTGGCAGAGGTTGGTGAGTGTGGGGCTTTTTTTTTAAAGAGCCAGGATGCTGGGACCAGGTGGGACAACCATTGATGGGGCTGGGAGAGCCAGCGAAGGATGTTTGATTCAGAGATTTGGCTGATTCAACCGTGGCTGAACCTCTGAATCAGATTCAGTCAAATTGAATCAGGAGAATGATTTGAATCACCAAATCGAATCACTGTACCTCAAATCGTCCGAATCCAAAGTGAATACTAGCTGCTTCGCACAGGCCTAATGACCACCATGCTGCCTTCTGATCTTCAAAGCTATGTGTAACAACATAGTGTTTTTGACAGAGTTGAGAGAGGTTGACACCGTTTGTTACAGTGTATATATAAAGCTGCTCAGAGCTGCAGGTGATTGGAGTTTGTCCAGATTGGAACTGCTCTTACTAACAACAGATTCTTGACCAATATCTTGAAATTGATATTGTAGAATTTAATTGAATGTGCTTTAAAAATTAACTTGTGTTTAGTCAAAATGAGATGCTATTTCTTAGACACCTTTCTTCAGGCTTTTTTCAGATGCTGTTTAGATCCTTCTATTCAAGTTTAGGTAATGCACCTAGTGAGGTGTATTTCTTTTAAACTGAAAATATTGAGTTGAATTCTGTCTTTAGGTAGGCATGTCCATTTTTCATTGACTTTAATAAACATAGTGAATTCCTATATACAGAATGTATGGTGTTCTTAACAGTAATTTTTAGATAACACATCAAGAAGGTAAGTTTACAAATTTTGCCATGAGTTTCTGATGTTTCATTTTTAAAAATAAGCATGCCTTTTTAATTATAATTCTTAACAATAGTGCACCTTTCAAAACAGATTCTGAGAAAGAAGGTGGATAATTTAGAAAAGAAAACCACTAGCTGTGTAGTAAATCAGTCTGATGGTAATGTTGGTGTCCTCATGGAGACAGTCAGAGAGTTACAGAAACAGCTGAATGAGTTTGGCAGAGTTGTGGAAGATTACAAACAAAATTTGGATCTGATGAAGCATCTACAGCAGCTAATGGAAGAGGTACCAATCAAACTGTACATCCTCTTTGTAATTCTGATAAGAGGCCATTATGGGGATTAGGAAAAAGCATTCTTCTATATCAGTCAAGTCAACCTTTGTTGTACTCCTTCTTCAAAGGACAGCAGAGCACCAACTATCTGAACTAACAGGGACAAAAACCCAGTTGTAAAATCATTTTTTTTCATAGAAAGCAAGCATACAAAAAGCAAGTTTGTTAACAAATTTGCCTTTTTTTCCTCAGTCATTACAACAGTACTTTTCTTTCAGATTCTATTGCTCTCACATACCACATAAGTTAATAGCACTTCCGGCATTCGGTTAACAAAATAGCTCTGATGAATAGTGTCCAGATAACTGATGCTCTGCTGTAATAATATTGAAGCTAGTCTCTTTTTCCTTTGTTAATGCACATAAAAGGATTAAAGTATTGGTGCTGGATTAAAGCATAGGTCCTTTGGGTTCATGCACAAGTTCTTGCATTGTGGCAGGAAGGGACTATATTCCATCAAATATCCCTGATTGTCACAGATGCTTGTCTGAGTTTGCCAGACATTAGTTCCAAGAGATGGCTTATGGGCTGCCTTATGCAGATAAACTGTGGAACCTGCTCCCAAGCCACAAAGCAAAGGGTTGTGCAACAGGGACAGAGTAAGGGTAGGGCAATTAAGCATTGTGCATATGACCCTGAGATTGCTTAAATGTGTCCTCCCCTTCCCCCTAATATGATGTTTTGCTTGTTTTATGGAAGTGGCTAGTAGGCAGCAGCTGCAATCTAAGAAAACGATGTAGAATTCCTGTAGTATCATTGTTACAGCCAAGGTGGTCTAGGGAATATTCAAGAAGCAAGATTTGATATGAGGTTATATCTTTTATTGGACCAACTTTATAGTTCTGAGAGATATTAGATGAGCTTTCAGGCACAGAATCTAAAGCAGCATTTTAAGAAGAGTAGGCTTCATTGTTGCCATGCTTAGCATCTACAAAGAGCCACACTGGGCACATCTACATGTGCACTTTTACTAGTTAACTAATTAGCTCCACAATAAAGCAACACAGTCTACATGTGCGCCCATATTAGGGCACAGTAAACTAATTAACTGCACCATAGAATAGTACTATCTGAAACAAGCACTATCTTCCAGTAGAGTACTTACATGTGCTGCAACACATGTGTAGACTGGGGCTGGGGCTAGCTGAAGCATGAGGGTGCTACAGTGCAGGGGCTGCCTGCCTACCAGGCAGCCCCTGCTCTGTAGCACCCTCATGCCCCAGCCAACCCTGACACCTCCTGATGTCAGCACCCCCCGGCTCCCCTGCTCTGGGTCAGCTGCTCCCAGGCACAGTGTCTTCATGTGTGCCCTGGACCATCCCAGGTACACAGGAAGACACTGTGCCTGGGAGCAGCTGGCTCCCTCAAACTGCACCAGAGTTTATCAAGGCACATTAATTATCATGTATAACAACTCTCCCACTGCAACTGACAATGTGAACTGTCCCATGATCGACCCCTAATGATTCAGATAAACAGATTTAGCAAGTGCTTTTCTAATAGAACCATCCAATGACTCCCAGACCTTCCTCTTTCTCTTAGCCAGTATTTACTGGATATGAAACACTAAATTGCCAGTTTCCTATGTAGCTTAGTTTCATGAATGTCACTGTCTCATCCCTGCTACGTTTAAAAAGAAATGGCAGAACTCTGTTTCCCCTTGTGTTGCTAAATGGTAGCTTTCCAACCATGTAAATGGCCTCTTGGTACTTATGCACAGATGGTGATTATATTACCTTTGCACTGTGGCTGCATAAACTGTGTGTATAGGCTGAGCTTGTTCTTTCTGTAGGCTAGTACATCCTGTGCATAAGTGTCAAAAACACCACTTATGTGACTAGAAAACTGACATTTAGCTGCAAAAAGTGAAATATAATTCCACCCAAAGTTTCCATCTTTAAGTACTGTTCACAGTGACTCAGCATATTTTGGAATATAAATTGGAATACAAAGGTATTTTGAGTCTCACAAAAAGTCCCACACAACATTATTTGCTCACTGTTAAATCTCAAGTGCCAAATCATCACAAGCCCTTCAATGCTAGTTGTCTGTGAGAAGTGTCTGTCTGGTATGTAAAGCAGGAGAATGAAATCCTGTAAAAAAAATCCAAATATGTAGAAATAAAATAGAGAATCCTTGTACATTCCTAACCACTTAAATACATGATTTTGTACTCCTGTAGTAGTATTTCATTTGCTATGCTTTTGGAGTATTCTAACATTTTCAAATGATTAAATGCTGCTTAATCCATTGCTGCTAAAGATTTTGGAAGTCTAGTTCCTAGCAGCATTTTCTCTCTTGTCACATTGTGTAGGTGCCTCTGCTGTGAGTCAGGCACATTCCTGTCATCCTTGTTTATTTTTAGTAATCAAGTTTTTTCAGTTCTCCATTGCACTCTAAATGCATGACTAGTAACTACCATTAATGACAGATCAAAATGTTAGTCTTTAGGCTAAACAGTTTCTTTATTGTCCAATGATCTTGTGAAGAAAATGAATGTTTCTTTTCATCTCTGATTAGGAGAACAGCATGGCAACAGTTGTGCATTTACATTTTTAACTTCCCCACCCCTTATTTTGAAAGAGGGTGGAAAGAGTCTAAACTTTAAAATATGATTTTTATTCTGAAAAGTAATTGTAAAACAGTACCATCTTGCTCAAGACATTTTTCTTTCCTGGCGTGTGTGGAGTTGTAAGTACTGGTTTTAATGAAAAAAGCCTTTAGTATTCTACTCCTGATAGCAGTTCAGATCCAAACCAGATAACCCCATGTTTCATTGTACCTTGGGCATTTCACCCTAAATCGTTTACTCAGGGTGCTCTCTAAGCTCCACTGATATCAAGAGAGAGATTCCCAGAAAATCTTACTCTAATTTTCTATGCTATTGTATGCAAAATCATGTATGACATAGGATTGCATAGCTGAAACCAAGGTCATGCTTTGAAATCTGTGGAGTTAATTCAGGCTTGCTTCTCAAGGCAAAATTGCATATCCAGAAGTAGTAACTAGACAGGAACATAAGCTTAGTTCTAAAAGAAGAGTGTGGATATGGAGTACAGCTGTGATTTAACAAAAAAAGTGACAGCTCTTGGTTGTAAGAATATTGCTAATGAACTGACATTCTTCATGGTTATTCTGAGCAGTGCTATATGTCCCTGAGCTTCCTTACTGCTGTTACTCAAAAACACACTGTAATAGGGCAAACCAACTGTACAAAAGCCCTAATTGCCCATCATTGTTTCATTTATGAAGCTTTGTTGTATCTATTTTTAAACATTTTTCCCCCTTTTTAATACGTATCAGTGTCAGTATTGGTATGAAGAAGCAAGTGCTACAGTCATTAGAGTTGGAAAGTATTCTGCAGAGTGTAAAACCCAAGAAGCAGTAGAAATTCTCTACAAGCAATTTAATAAATTTATCCAGCCTACAGTGCCCCAACAAGAGGAAAGAATTCAGCAGATTACTGACCTTGCTAAACGTTTATACGGTGAGAACTCCCTTAAGGTGTGTGGGGATGTGGTATAGAACAAATACTGATTGAACAGGTGGGGGCAGGAGGTAACAGGGGACTGTTTAATACCTACATTTATTGATTTAAAAAGAAGATCCCACAAGGTTAAAATCAAGCACTGCTTTAAGCTATTGACAGAGCACTTGTTCTAGAAATATCCATTGTACTTAACATGAGAGAGGTAAAACAGTGCAGAACTAAAGTTTAAGGAAATATCAAAAAGTAAACGCTGAAAATCCAGACAGATGCTTTTCAGTCTGTCATCTGAGTTCATCTTGAAATCTAAATGTAAATGTCCTAGAAACATTAATAATCTTAGAATTAAGACTTTATGGTTCATAACAGGAAAGTCTCTGAAGCTGAATTGTACTACACCTATATCACTCAAAGATGAATGAATAGTTTACCCTAACGTAGTTTAAACTAATGTTAAGCTAATTTTTCTGTATCTCATGTTCATAGTTATTGGTTGCTCTGTAAATATTTGGGTCCATTTATTTTGATAAAGTGAAGAATGTTGGGTAATGCTTAAGCATTGGGACTTGTATTCATTAGATTTCAGTTTTCTTCTTGATTTTGCTCTGCACACTTGTGTGACTTGCTGTATTTACACAAGCTCTAAAATGAGGCCAATGGCTGAAGATCTGGATAGAGCACATTGCAGTTCCTCCCTCACAAGAGCCTCGCTGAACAGCACTGACATCAATGGCAGCTTCTCCACCAAGCCCTTAGGGTCTGGAGTGAAGGGGAATGCGTCATACTTTGCTCACTTATTTATGTATTTGTGAAAACTCTGCATATATAAATAATATGAGCACACAGTTGAAAGATCCTTTAAAATTTGTCCTTGAGGTAATTATCCATTCAGTCAATTAACTTGAAACCCAGTCTGTCAAATAATATTTACTGTGATCTAAGCCCTGGGAGCTGAGAAACCTAAGTGAAACACCCCCTTCACATTCCTGGTGCTGCTGGAAACACTTGCTCGTGGGGCTTTCCTCGATGCTGCTGTGGCAGGAGGTGGCTTCACAGCTACATTTGCTGAGTCGGTGCTTGTGAGTGGGAGCTGATGAGTACTGCTTGCTTGAGAGCTGTCTGCCCCCCCCACCACCACCCTTTGCCCTCTGCCAGCACTGGGACCATGGTGTAGACATACTCTAAGTATACAATGGGACAGCATTCCCAGAAGTAAAGGACAACCCACAGCAGATACCTTGATGATGGGGGGGGAATATACAATGATGTCACTCATTGTTTCCAGTTTTTGCTCATTCAGGCAATCTAATCATCATTTGCTTGATAATCTATGAGATGGAGAGTAAACTCCCAAAGGTGGAGTAAGCCATCTTTCCATTCTTGAGTTGCTTAATGAAATCTGATAAAATCCTATCAAAGCAAGACTGTAGACTTATATATTTAATATACTTTTAATCACAGAGGGTTTTTCAGTATGGAACATTACGCTAGGAGGAAAGCAGCAGCTCTTATTCTTTTGCAGTACTGATAATTTTATGCCGATCTAATGCATGATTGGTTCTGTGAGTAACTGCTGATATCAGTCAAATGGAGGGTTCCTTTACTTTTATGTTGGAAAAATCTAATTTTTATACTTTTGACAGGAAGGTCAGCAAAGTTTTTGGAATGTTAACTGTTTCTTGGCTAAAGAACAGAGTGGTAAGCTCAGGGGAGTTTATGGGGGGCCACTGTCCCTTTAAAATTATTCCCTACAGGTCAGTAACATTGCTTAGTCCGGGGGAATCCCATCCAAATGACATGGCAAAAATTGTGAGTGTCCAGCTCCATGGAGACAAAATAGAGTAGAGAGAAAAACCCGATTTTTAAAAATACTTTTCTCTGATACAGGATTGTGTTTATTGTCATGTTTTCTACCTGCAGGTTTTGAAGAGGGAAGTAAGTATGTGGAAAAAGTGGTAGCAAAGCATGAAGAAGTTCTTGATTCCATCAGTGAACTATGTAACTCTTTGAAACAACTTGAAAGACAGATTGAGGTAATTAAATGTATATGACAACTGTTTTAAACTAGATCTATCAATAATTTTATCAGTATTTTATGGCAAAGAATTACAGTGGAACTTGAGGGAGATGGGATACCATTTAGTTTTGATGTTTCCAAGAAAAACATGTCTCTCTTAATATTTTTTCTGTCCTTATAATAAAACCAATGGGATGTTCTTCATTACTAATTTTAACCATACCCAACAGTTCTCTAACTCTTTAAGATCTCTCTTATCTATTATCCTATTTTAATCCAAATTATGCCGGAAAAGATTAATCTCTAACATCATATTTAAGGGTAGACTTTTTTATGCAAACTCTGGGGATTATCAGAAGCAGAGTTAAGATATTTAGAATTATTCCTGTTGCTATCATGCAGTTATCTTACTACTGGTATATTGCTCAAAAAACTTTTCAATTAAGATTTGCTTGATATTCCATTTGTTTTTGTACTAAGCTAAAGAGAACCCTGCTCTTGAACTTGTCCCTATTACACCATTGAAAAGAAAGCCCTGCTGGAAATAATGTGCCTTGTTCTTGTTTTCCTGTTTGCTTTTCTTTTGGCTACAGCCTGGACCACACTTTACAGTTATTTCTATATGTAAACTGAAAAATATTTAAACATTCCTTAAAGGGCTCATAGATATTAATTGGTCCACTGCAGGTTCCAGGTATAGATGTTGGGTCAGAAGGAAGGGAATATGAATAGACAAGTGTCTTAAGACAGGAAAGCATTGGACCATGGAGAGACATGGCCAGGAGATGCAAGGGACTAGGTGGGACACATTTGTTCTAACATGTCATGAAACAGAAAGTGATAAAGAAGGCACTAAGAGATGGGAAGCAGATCAGAAGAAGATGGATGAAGATAAGGAATAGAAGGGATTGCAGAGAACAGCAGAAAGCAGGGATACAGGACTGAAGATTTAGAAAGGAACAAGAAAAGGCAAAAACTTTGATCCAAGTAATCACAGAAAAACTAAATATAGAACTGTAAGTTCTTGAAAGCTTTAGGGCCTGATTCTCGTTTGCATTATGTGCCATCTTTCTCTGCCAGCAGTATGTAAACATTCTTTCATATAAATGGGAATTAGGACTTTCAAAATAGACATGTCTCCTCTTCTTTTCCTGCATCTTCTGCAAAGTAGCTAAATTCTGCTTGAAAAAATCCCCACAGGATCCATCAGAACAAAACTTTATTCCTGCAGAACTTATATATTGACTCAATTTAAACTAGATGCCTTAAAAATCCTTGGAGAAATGGGATTTAAAAAATCTAATAATTCTTTTATTTTGAATTTGCAGGTATTTTTTATGAATTTAAGGGGCAATGTTAAAGTTGTGGGGGTGATGCTGAATGATAAGGGAGTGCATGATGGGGGAACCAGCTGGATCCTTTAACTGTTCCCTTCCACATATTCTGATAACTGTGGTTTTGAATGTTTGCGAGGAAATGTAATACTGTATTACTTACTGTAATAAGTTCTTTTTTTATGCAATAGGGAAGTGTTTATATGTGCTCTTGGGGGCACTTAAAGTGCTCTAATTAAGTCTCAGGCTTGTATCATGAGAAGTCTCATGATACAAGCCTGAGAAGTCTAATGATACAGAAGTCTCATTGTATCATGCCTTCTGCCATGCAATGCTACTGTGCAGTAATCACAGGCTACTGCGCAGTCAGCATCTCTTGTAGACATGGCCACTGGCAAAGCCTGGTTTGTCTGTTTCACAATAAGTATAGACCAAATTTTTCTAGGTGAGGGAAGTTTTACTAGGATAGGGAAATTACAGGCAGCACAACTATGTAAGGACTTAGGGGTTGGCAACATATGTCCAGTGAAATCTGGCCCATGCAGTCCCTGGATATGGAGTTTCAGGAGTGTTTGGTGCTGGGAGGCTTCAAAGGCATTTGGTGTTGGGTGGCCTACTCCCATTTCAGAATGGGGAGAAGTGGAGGTGGCAATGCCTACTGCTTACCTCCTCTGACTCAAGCCTCTGGTCTGAAAAGGTGGCTAATTGCTGACCTAGGGAGATAAACTGTTTGTCAAGGAAGCTGGGATATAGCAAATAATCTTCCTAGAGACAGGGGCAGCAAAAAGAACAGAAAGCAGAAAGAAAGCAGAACTATTAGTAAGAAAGGGTAAACAAAGAAAAGTATAAATTTCAGGAAGCTTGTTCTAAGGAGAAAAGAATCATTAAAGACTCTATAGGACGTGCAGCATTTTTCCAAATGCCTAGAGTTGCAAAGAGGAAAATTATAAATAACAGTAATGTAGAAATTTTATTTGACTTGACAAAGACTTGTTCTCTGTCTTTGCCCTGCCCTCTGTCTTTAAAGTCCGTGCTCATTATATGTGGAGACCTCTATTAGAGGTGTGCGAAGCAGAGCCTATTAGATTTGGATTCAGATTCAGCCTGAATCTGGGAGAGTGATTTGATTCGTTGATTTAGGTCACTGTTCCCAATTCGATTTGGCCAAAGCCGAATCTGAAGATTCAATGCTGATTCAGAGAATCACTAATTCGGACATAGACACCGCTTTAAATGATTTTTCTACATACCTCAAGGTACCAGCATGGCTTGTGAATGCTGCAATGCTGGGGCACATGGAGCATCCCACAGGAGTGTAGGGTGCGCCCTCCACGTGCTTGGCAGCGAACCTGGAAGTGGACCGGAAGTACGTTTGGTCCATGCCCACATCCACCAGGGAGCATGTGGGAAACACCCCACGCCTCCCCTGGCTCAGCAATCAGCTGCAGGGAACCCCAGGTGCCCCCAGACCCAGGAGGCACCAGGTGCCAAGCCAGGGAGTGCAGGGTGAGGGCCCAGCACATTCCCCAGCGGACACAGAAGCAGACTGGAAGTGCTTCTGGTCCACTTCTGGGTCTGCTACCAAGTGTGCTGGGGACCCCTCCACACTTCTGTGGGATGCTCCATGCACCCCAGCATCGCAGTGTTCATGAGCCGCCTGCTACCTAATGGTATGTAGAAAAAACATTTAAAGCTGTGTCTATGTCCGAATTGCCGAATCTTTCTGACTCCTGAATCGATTTGGAGGGTTCTGATTTGATTCGGAGAGATTAAAGGCTTCTCTGATTCGATTTGGATTTGGAGATTTGGCCACTGAATTGGGCCGAATCTCCGCCAGATCGAATCAGGGACTGAAACTTCACATAGCCAGGCCATTCTATCTGGCCCACGGGGCCCCTAAAAAATTTAGAAAATTAATATTTATCTGCCCCTGGCTACCTGTCATGCAGCCCTCTATGGCTTGCCAAAAGTCAGTAAGCGGCCCTCCGCCTGAAATAATTGCCCACCCCTGTAATTAAGAAGTTTAGACATCTGAATGCTGTACCTCAGAGGGAATATTGAGTTACAGAATGTGGAGAGAGAAACAGAGAACTATCCGCCCAGTATTCCAGCTCTGGAGAATTAAACAAATAAATTAAAGCCAAAGATAAACTCAAGAATAAGCTGAGCAGACTTGGGGTGAGGGCGCACTTAATTAGAGCACTTTAAGTGACCCCACTTTAAGCACTTTAAGTGCTCTAATTAAGTCTCAGGCTACTGCACAGTCAGTGTCACGAAAAAGCCATTTGTTGGCACAACTGTGCAGTAACTCCGGTTACTGCGCGGTCATTTAATATTTGTTTATACAAGTACTAAATGACTGCACAGTAATGACCGTGAAGGCAGCATCTCGTGTAAATGAGGCCATAACAACATTAAATACAACAGTTTACAGAATATGTTGCAAAAGTTTCTTTTTTTCTCTGTGTTCAAGGTCTAAGAAGGCCTTCTAATTGCCAGGTCGCTATATATTGTGCAGGGATTCACTGCATTTTCTTTTTATTTTCCAGAAAGATGTTCTGAAAGAAAAAACACCGAATATAAAGTGTTTTGTGGAGAAGGCGATTATTATACAAAAAGAGCAAGTGAGAAACAAGCAGGAGATGTACAAGGAAGTTAGTCAAGAAAAGGAAGATGAACCAAAGCTAGAGGTCAGTAAATTGTTCTGCAGTGGACCAGTTAAGTTTTGGTAGATTGCTAAAAGGTCTGTTGCTTTGACATGCTCCTTGCCTCCCTCAGTATGGGCATTATCAGTGTTATTCCTTTGACCTTCCCTTCTCTTTCCATTTTCTTCTCCCACTTACGTCCAGTCCAACATACTCTCTCTCTTCTTTTCCTTCTCTTGCTTGTTATATATTCTCTTTTCCTACCTCCCTAGGAAATAGCCCATTTCTGAACAGTAGGTTTACTGCATTCTCCTTTGTGGATTTGTGATATCTGATTTTAGTCAGTCAGTCAGTCAGTCCTTATATGTCTCCATTTCTTTTCCTTTCGTTTCCCTTCATTTATGAGCCATTACCCTGTCTGCTTTTTCTTACTCCTTTCCCTCTGAGTCTATAGCCACAAAATTCCTGAGACATTCTGTACTTATTTTTTCCAACAAGTAGAATACTATTCATTTACAGTTTAACAGGACTCATGGGAATAACAGTTTGGGGGAGTATTCTTCTTAATATTCCCTGGTGCCTTAACATTCTTATTTCCACCAAAAGACAATGTATATGTATTATAAATATAACCATTTCACTCATAGCTCAAGCTGAAAGTAGAAAGACTAGTGCTTTTATCAGTTAAAAATTTTTCCAGGGCTTAAAAGTTTTATGTTGCTTTTTTATATATGTTATATATTTAAATATATTGTATACATAGGTTATTCTTTTATATGGATTCAGATACATTTATTAAAAGTTCAGAAGTCAGAATAAAGGCTGGTAACAGTAGTATGTTTCTCTCTACCAACCTGAAGAACATGTCTGCTCTTCATTCTGAGATTATTTTTTTAATAACCAAGTTTGAGCAATTTATCCTCTAACCCCCAAGAGCCTTCTCTTCCACAGGTAAATGCTTCCTAGAAGAGACTGATTCTGTTACGCCAAGTACAGACATTACACTTTTACCAGTATAAGTGACCACAAATTGGTCTGCACCCATAACAGAACAGAAGTTCAGCACACCCAGACTGGTTTAAAAATTGTGGAGCCTAGTCTAAGATTTGCCCCCCCTTCCCCTCCCCACCAAAGGGCAAATGTGTGTTCTGTTCACTACCAATCTAAACTATGCTGGTTACAGAAAACCATGTAACTTAGATTGATTGTGCCTTGGCTTTTTGAAAGTCTGTACATAGCCCTGAAGACTGATCCTTAAGATCAGATTCTGCCTTCATTTACACTGTTGCCCATCCAGAGTCAGGGATGGATCCCAAGGGGGTGCAGTAGTTTGGCTGCACCCCCTTTTGCATTGGATCACACCCAGTGAGCCTCTGGTGACTTTTTTAAAGTCCCCAAAGCACACAAGACCCCCTCCTTTCCCTCCATGATCAAAGGCATGTCCCTTCCCCACTGCTGTAGTAACAAAGTTTGGCACCCAGAGCAAAGCCTGCAGCGGCAACCCACTTTTGCCCCGTGCACAGATCTGGGGGGCACACGCCCCCTCATGCTTGCCCAGGAGTGCACACAGCAGTAGGAACTGCCCTTCCCACATTCCCGCAAACAAGCCATTCGTGGCTCCATTCACTCCCTGCCCCACCCTGGCCAGGCAGCACCTGTTAGTGCCCCTTTGCTTCGGCACCTAAGGTGGTCACTCCACTCACCCCTCCCTCCCCCCCCGCTCTGGTACTGCCACTCTCTCCCCCACCTGTTGCTCTGAGACACTGCCCTTCCTCCCCTTCCCCTCCTGCTGCTATTGCTTTTCCCGCTGTGGATGTGGGAAGCTTGAAAGCTATTTCTGCCCCCTCCAGCGAGGCTACGCCAGGCTGGGCTCAGCTGGGAACAGTGAAAGCAACAAATGAGCAACAGGGTACCTCCTTCCCATATCTGCTTCTTGGGAGACTGGGTAGGTGGGGGAACCCTCCCCTATCCATCTCCACTGCTACTATGGTCACGCTCCTATCTGAGCCCAGTTTCTCCATAACAGGGGCAGAAGAGGTTTTGAAGCTTCCTGCACCCTGGGACAGCAGGGAAAGCAGTAGCAGAAGGCAGTAGAGGGGTGGAAGGAGACTAAAGGGGATGTGCCTGTAAGCACAAAAGGGAAGGGAATTCTTATGTGCTCTGGGGACTTAAAAATGTCCCTGGAGGCTCCAGATGTAGCCTGTCCACACCCCTACAGTGAGGGTGGCTCCTCCCACACCTACAGTTGCTAAATCCTGGATCCATCTCTTTCCAGAGTAATTCAAGTAAATCAGTGGAGTTACTCTTGACCTGTTCCACTGTAAATGATGTCTAAGCGCTCTTGATGAAGACATGACGATACACAATTACAGTTGTCAGCAGCTCAGTATGACATCATGTCATATATGTTCAGCAGTACAATTCGTGCAAGGCTCAAAATCAAATATACAACAAAGCTAAATCAGCAGCAAATAATCTACTTTGTGCTCACCTAAAATCAGTTGCTTCCATTGTATTCTCAAGTAATGTAGACAAACATGAGAAATAATTAAACAAAGAACATTGTGAAGGTTGAGAGCATGCACAATTTCACCTCTCCCCCACCAAATGATATAGATTCAAAGACCAAGTGTGTATTTACAGGAGGGAAAAAGTTAATGAGTGGATATACAATAATCAATTAAGGAAGTTTTTATGTTGTCAGTGACTAAATAAGGCTCTCAGATCAAGTAATAAAGAGAAAAGGGTTAAATTATATGAGAAGTATATATCCTAAATAAATTCAATATTGAAGCCTTAGTTCATTATTCATACATGAATAATGTACCACAAAGAGGTGAAGTATCACGGGAGGCTGGTGAAATCCAGTGGACGGGCTAAATGAAAAAGAAGAATGATAGTTGATACTGGATTCCTGTGTTTCAGATTTCTGTTTGGAAAGCTGATAATATGAATGGTTAATACTGCAGGGATGAAAATATGTTATTGATTAAACATAGTTAAGGCTAAAGTTCTTTTTGTTTAAGTGCAGGAAGCTCTCCTTTCTGCTGGTGACCTAGAAGCACATTTATTTAACATAGTTAAACATAGTTTGTGTTGCTCTTATTCAAAAAAACAAAAACTATCCCTTTTTTCTTTGAAAGATAATGTTAGTTACTGGCCCAGTGAGACCAGTACAGCAGCTGGGGATGGTGGGGTGCAAAAAAGTCTCATTCCTGCCCTCCTTTCTCCCTCTCATAACCTTTGACCAGCTGCCACATGCCACTGAAGGATCCTGTATGCCAGGGGACTCAATTTTTTGGCCCAACAGGCCAGATGAGTGGGGTAGTCTGCAGGCCAGATTGGGCCCCACATACCAAGATGAAGCTCTGGGGCCTGGCACCATACCCCTCCCTGCCCCATGCTCTAGGAGCAGGCCATGGGAATTGGCACTGCCCTCTTCTGCTCCTGCATGCTGAGATTAATTCCCAGAAGCTTGTCACCACCATCTCCCACCCACCACACTGGGATAGGTCCCAATGGCCTGGCACTGCTCCCTTCTGGCCCCCCACACTAAGATTGGTCCCTGGGGCCTGATACTGCCCACCCCCCTCCAGCCCATCCAGAGGCTGGTCCAGTGTGCAGGGCCTGGGGCTTCCTGCAGGTCTGAAAATGTGCAGTGGGAGAGTGGTGCCACTGTTCTCCTACTGTCAAATTTCTGGACCCGTGGGGAGTCCATGGGCCAGGTAATATGGGACTGTGGGCTGGATCTGTACACTGTTATGATGTCATTTGTATACAGTTATGATGTCACGTTCCCAGTGAAATATGTCTGTTTATAGGTCAGTCCATCTGGAGTAATAAAAACCAGAGAATCAGAGCCTCTGATTTCATTCAGCACATAGAGACTTTGACCATTTAAAAGTTACTTAGGCCTGTCATTTTAAATTATGCCTGCTTAAACTTTAATAACCTTTCAAGTGTTTCTCCCTGTTAATATTTTAATAAATAGACTTATTATGTGAAACTTTACGGCTAGGGACAGACATTCAAAAAGCCTGAGCCTGAATTGATTCAATCTTTGTAGGTTAGTCTAACCTGGCTAATCTAAATCAGTTTTGTAACTGGACAGACGTCCCAGGAATGCAGGCACATGCCTGCAGTGGCTCAGGCTAGAAGCTGGGGGGCGCTAAAGCAGCCCTCCCTTCCTTCCACAGCATGGAGCTGAGGGGGGCATGGCCAGACTCCCACAGGATGCTCCGATTAGCCGAGCAGGGAGTTGATAACAGTGTTCATCACCCAATTAAGAAACAACAGAGGAACATTACCATCTACTTGCTGATTCTGCCCGTTGATTCTACCTGTTGATTCAGCAAGGACAGTAGCCAGCATGTGGTCTGCTAGCTAATACACAGAAACCTCCTCAGCAAGTCAGAGGAGAGGGGGGAATTCCTGCTTAGCAGGGAGTGGTGAGGAGGAAGTGGGGGAGCTGCAGCCAGGGAGCAGAGGGGAGGGGCCAGCCCTGCTGTGGAGCAGAGAGCCCTGCCCAGCCCAGAGAGCATGCCGGGATGCTGGGGATGTCTGGTTTATCTTAAACCAGCAAGGGGTCTGGGACAGACATTGCATAAACTGGTTTGAGCCAAATCAGTTAAGTCTGATACTACACTCAACCAGGTTTATTTTAAACTGGTTTCAGCTATTCTCAAACTGGTTTTTGTGCACTGAATATCTGTTTAAACTGGTTTAAACCAGTTTCTGATCACTTAAACTGGTTTATGTGTAACGTCTGTCCCTAGCCTATTACTGCAAATAATGTTAATCTGATCTTGATCACCGAGGACCCTGATCACTCAGTGATATGAAAGTTTGAACAAGATTAAAGCTAAAAGTTGTACGTGACAATATATCTAAGGTTCAAGGTGTTGGGTAAGACACATACAGAAAAAGAAAAGACATTAGTTGTAGGTGGACATATAGGAATTAACTCACAGAAATCCGTATCTTGAGTTGACAATTAATTACAGCTCTAATAAACAATGGAATGAACACCAGCCATAATATCTTGGCTCGATACATTAGCCTAGAAGCCTCTTGCCTAATTATGAGTGTATAGTAGAGCAAATTATTCACACATTTCAGCAAATTAAAAATTGAATTTTGCTTTCCTGTGTTCATCCCCATTTTGAATTCACTTTTCAAGGTTTAAGTTTTCCTTTACTGCAACCTCTCACATACATTATGTTTGAATTGCAAATAAGACAACATTGAATTAACTAAACAGAAGGAGAGATTTGCTGAACCCAGTGATGTAACATGTGGTGGACAACCAGGGCAAAATCCTCAGGGGCCAACTTAGAGGAGCAGCATAAACAGCAGCCACTGCTGCCATCAGCCCAGCTGCCATAGCCATCCCAACCCCTATCACTGCCTGTTGCTGCACAGGGCACAGACCCTAGCTTTTACACATCTGGATGAATCTTTCAACAGATGTTTAGCTTGGAGACCAGCAAGAAGATCCGGTTGCATCCACATATTTATACATGATACAGAATTGAATACCTGTAAATTCAAACAGTTTCAAAGGCTGATAGATCAAATATTTTGCATATCATTTAGCAAGCCAACACTATAAGAATAGGACTTACATTCTCTGAGCACCCTTTTAGAAACCTGGGACCAATGAGAGAGACATAGGTATTATGTGTCTGTGCCAGTACAGACGTACAAAGCCCCAGCCAGAGCCCAGGCACAAGAGTAATTAAATAATTCAGACAGTCTTTGCTGATCTGAAGCTAGAAATTCATGCTCACATAGCACATACAATTACTTTCTGGGAATATGATGACAGAAAATCTTTATTTGGACCTAAGCTTCTAATAGTAAAATCAGTCTAATATTTTTCTCTGAGACAACTAACAGAAAAAAGTGTAAAGAAAAAGTTTAAAATGCTCTAAAAAATTCTTAAATTTGCTGGGGTAGCCTTTAACTTATGAACTACAACCAGTAAGCTACTTCAAAGAATGATCACCATTCTCTAAGGATGATCAAAGATCCAGTAATTTGATTTTAACTTGTCACTGGTTACCATAGTAACATAGCATAGTTTCTAGTCCCATGAATGTGACTGTGCCCATACCATCTTTCATTACAGCCACCCATAGTAAACACAGGTCACAGGGAATCTACCAGTGGTCATTTGTTCACCCTAAGTAGTACATTACATTTTATTGTTATTGAACCTAATTTTAAAGTGATCATATTATATTTCCTGTCAGACCATATCCAATGGAGCTACTGTACCATAGCTGCAAATTTTCTGCTAATGATTCTGTCACATTTATTCATGTTTCCCAGGGTGGATTAAGTGAGTTTAAGAAGAAGAAATACTACAAATGTTATTATTAACTTGTACGTGAATGTGGATGTGCACTACAATAGCCTGTTCTCTCTTTCTTTTTTTCCCTTCTATTTTTAAGGAAGAGAATAAATTGGCTGATATTTCAGATATCTGCCCAGCTGGTGAGGATTTCATTTCTCAGTATGCAGAGCTGTCTTCTTCTGCCAAAGAGGATAGTTTACAGACTGAGCTCCTGGCAGAAGAAATGCCCTCTGGGGATGAATATGAGTGTATATCACCTGATGATATCTCATTGCCACCGCTTTCTGAGACACCCGAATCCAACCTCCTGCATTCTGAAACAGAGCTGGAAGATCAGTCGTGCTGTAGTTCTCATAGTCTGCATGTCAGCTCCTATAGCTTGCAAATGCAGATAAATACTACCAATAAAAGAATGACTGATGAGTCTGGTCTCTTAACAACTATTGCTTATGCTGACACTACGAATCAGAGAAGGGAAAATGCATCAAATCAGTCTGAGAGGTTTCTCCCCTCTACCATATGTCATGATCCAAAATTCGGAGTGCAGTCTCCTTTGACTTACAGTTCACCAGAAACACCAGAAACTAGCACTGCTTCCTGCACAGTAAATGCAAGACCGGCATATAGCATGATGAGTGAAGTGTGTGAGAAGCATTTGCAGCACTGTGAAATTCATAAAAGCATGACAGAAACACAAGAACATTTGCATGGCATTAATAACTTTACTAAAAGCCAGGATAGGCTGCATGCTTTGCCCGATGCATTCTCAGATCTCATGTTTCAATCAGACGCTACCAGAAGCTGTCAGAGGCAGATGGTCACCCAAGAAGAGATTAAAAGTGCATCAGAAAAGGACAGCATGGTCAGCCTATCTGGACAGGCGCCTAACTTCTCCCAGCTCCTGTCTAATGTAACCGTCATGGAAGGTTCTCCAGTAACTTTGGAAGTAGAAGTAACAGGATTTCCAGAGCCTACATTGACATGGTGGGTAGCTTATAATGAAAAGAACTAAACATATCAGTAAAAATACACATCAAATCACGTATAACTGTGTGTCCTAATCTAAAAAATAGAGTGAATTGCTTGTATCCATATCACTCCATAGTTCTGCATGGTTCCACTTTTCTGTTTTTGGGGGTGTTTTTTAACATTAACCCACTTGAAATGTCACTGCTCTCAACTTCAGGAATAATCAAAGCGTCAAAATACTTGTGACCATATTAGACATTTATTTTGAATAAACACAGCCAGCACTTTTCTATTATTTCTCAGTTTAACATTCCACTTTTTAAAAATGATTTGTGAAATGAAACTCATATTTCAGGATCAACATAATGCAGGTGGACTCCTCTATACTGTCTCTGCCACTTGCCCAATTTTTTTTTTCAAAATATGAAAAAAGACTGAATACAAAGAAAATAAGCCTCCAAACAGTGAAGTCCAAAGCTGAAGGAAATATTCACTCTCTCCCCCTGCACTGTCATATGTACAGTTTTTTATTAATTAAAATTATATTGTTATATCTTGTGTTTGTAGGAATTTTTACAAATAAGAACTGGTAAAATATAAATATCTTTTAACAGCAGGACTATTAAGAAATGCTTTGCAAAAGATAGAGATGGAGACAGGGGTCAGAACATTTCAAAGAGAGTTATTTTTAGGTCTTCATATGCTGCTTCATTTTTATAAAATCCAATCCCTATATATATGTCATTAATTTGTTTCTTCCAAGGAAGCCCCTCTTTGAATTTGCTAATGGTGGATATTGCTCCCAGATATATTTTAGTCCACATTTTTGCAATGCCCGGCATCACACATAAAAAAACAGAGCTGGAGGGAGAAGTATCTATACAGCTGCAGGGAGAGGGAGAGAGAGTGCTTTTACAATGTACTAAGAACTGCAAACCCATCTGTTAATAATCTGGATTTTTACCTACAACATTGAAACACTAGCAGTACATTCTGCCTGTATCAATAATATAGTAATTTAGTTTTCCATTTCCATACTCTGCACTTTCAGGCAGTACTGCTTGTGAATTAAGGAGTCCTTCCAATTATATTTTTAGGTCAATTAGCCCAAAGCAATATGTTGTTGGCAGAACTTGTTTCTCAAAATAAACTTTAAATTGAATATCTCTTAGGTCACAGTTTTATAAAAATTGAACTGCCATATTTTACAATAAAAACTCAGTGCAGGATCACTGTAGCAATTTTTTTCACAGATTTATATAGTGTCATAGGGATGGGAGTTTTGCCTTTAGGTAATGTTAAATGCAGCATACACACAGACAACATATTCAGGGCCTGCTTCACCTTTTACTTAGAGAAAGTAAATCAGACATAAATGCCACTGAACCTAGCAAGCCATTTCCTCAACTGTTGTAAATTGGAAAAGTTTCCTTGAAGTTCATGAAGTTACATTAACACTGAATGAAGATCTGCAGCAACTGAGTAGCAGGGAAACTGGCTTCTTACTCTTTACTGCTTTTTGGGGGAGGCTAAAATTGATATTTGTGCAGAGGACTTGTATTATGCTTTGCACACCAATAAAGAGCCATTAATGACAGAGATAAGTTCTGTGTAGTTTCTCCTGTAGGTCCTCTGGAGGGTGAATTTAACCCTTCAATAGCAAAATTTTTCCAGGCAAGTCTCTGCAAAGCCCAGCTGAAGTAAGTGGGACATCACACAGGTTGCATAATCATGCAGAGCAGCTTGCCAGCAATCCTGTTTCTGTCTTATATTAAATGTATTTAGCTGGTTGTGTGAATCAGATAAATTAATCCATTTGAAAATGGGGAAATCAGTGGAGCTGCAGCTATCAATTTCTGTTATTGCCAAGTTGTTATAGAGGTGCTCTTAAGATCAGCAAATCCTGCTTCAGAAAAGACTGATGTAAATCTGACTTGAAAACTGACTCTCTGCTTCAGGTACAAGAAGGGCCAGAAACTGACTGCAGATGAGCACTTTAAGCTCTTACAAAAGGAGACAAAGCATACTTTGTTCATTCAGAAGGTGTTTGATACAGATGCTGGCCTCTATGTTGCTCGAGCTAAAAATTCTAATGGCACAATCTCATCAAGTGCTATCCTCCATGTGAAAGGTAATGGGCCACCTATCACAAGAATAAACTGGATAATGCTGTGTGTCATCTATATTAGTGTATTACTAATGTACTGGCTGTCCGCATAATAAGTACAGTATTGTCAGCACCGGATCACGAACTGAGACAATTGTAAATCAGTTATCTTTCACTGCATCTTTCACGAACTGTAACAATCTATTTATGCTTCATACTAGGTAGCTTGCTTGTTTTCTTAATACCACTGCTACATCAGATGTTTATGTTCCCTTGTCAGATTAATCTTTATCTTAAAAAGTTAAAATGATTTGTTAGGATGATGGCTGAGTTTTGCAGGCTAAATGTCCACCATTACTGTTAACAAAGTATAAAAAGCTTTCAGATTGTGTTGTTTATAGACATCATATGTCAAAGTGTATGCAGGTACTGTGCCTAAATCATTGTACATGTTATGATGCACTTTTGTTGTTTTTTCTTTAAAACATATTTCTAATAGTATTTTTCTCATGTACATTTAAGGTAAGTCTCTGTGTAGAATAAAGCCAAATAGGACAGAATCGTAAAATGTATAACTATACTGGCAAACACCACAAACAGATCTATGCATGGTGTTGCAAAAACTAGGGCTTCATTTAGCTAAAATGTGTCTATAAGTAATTTGAAAACAATTGAAGTCAATGGAGCTTTGGCAATCTAGACAGAGACTCAACCTTTTAAGGCTCAAGGTTCCCCTAGTCAGACTCAAGGTATTTAAAAAAATGCCAGTTCTTAGCTGGCTCATTTCCTGAGTATGAAAAAATAATGGAGTGATTCTTCTATCCAAAGAACTCAGAAAGACCACAACAGGTTAGAACGTTTTTGACATCATGGATTCCGATTTGAAATCTTTGGGTTGTGAATTATGTGTAGCATCTAGTAAGGCAGGGGTGGGCAAAATGCGGCCCGGGGGCCGGATGCAGCCCACCAGGCCATTCTATCTGGCTTGTGGGGCCCCTAAAAAATTTAGAAAATTAATATTAATCTGCCCTGAGCTGCTTGTCATGCAGCTCTTGATGACTTGCTGAAACTCAGTAAGTGGCCCTCTGCCCAAAATAATTGCCCTGATCTAAGGCCACCTATACATGTGCAAAGAGGCTGTAATTACAGCACGTTGGAGAAGACTCAATTAACTAAGTCTGCTGGAGCACTCCAGCAGACTCTAGCATCATATCTATCAGCATCCCTGCACTGAAAAATGGCAGTGGAGGTACTTTAACTAAAACTCATTTGGCGAGCTTTAGTTAAAGCACCCACACTGCCATTTTTCAGTGTAGGGATGCTGATACACATGACACTTCAGGCACTTTAATTAGAGCAGCACTTGGAGATGCTCTAATTAAAGAGCCCCCTCCCTACCTCCCAGAGCATGTGTATAAATACCTGAATAGTATTCATATTGGTTACACCTGGTGACATCCTTAAAAGGATCTCACAGCACCCCGGGGTCCCACAGCAACCTGGTTGAGAACCACCAGTCTAAACCAACAGATGCATACCTGTCAGATAAATGATGAAGTGTTAGTTTGTGCAATAGTCCCATAAATGCCAGTTTATAAAATAAAATTTTTCAACATACCTCTCTGCCTGAAGTATGCAATGTTGCAATTCTTTTAATTCATTCTCTGCTTCCTTACAAAATGTTAAATGAAACATATAGATACCTTATATAATACCCCCAATTGTTAGTATGAAAAGAGAAATATCATATTTTATTAATCTGGCTTTGAGCATGTTTATAATTCATTTTGATAAACTATTTTCAAAGAGATCAACATATTTGGGAAAATATTCCAGGGAAGAATAATGTGTATGATAAGATATACTATAAAAATGAAAATAGAGGATTTTTCTGTGAGTTTTTCTTAAACAATTGTAATAATGAGAATTAAGTGTTGACTTTAATTGTGATATTTTTTTAAAAATTGTATCTGTTGAATTTTATTTGTGATAAGGACAAACCAAAATACTATTATGTTATTATAAAAATAGTTCTGATGATGTAATAACTTTGGTTCAGAAAAAATTTAAGATTTTGACAAAAGAAAGGAAGTTTGCCATGAAAAGATTTCACAGATAGACCTTCAGGCATTTAAATAGTGAGATTAATTTCTTATAAGACTTTGATACATGTTGTATCTGTCCACAAAAACAGTAGGCAAACAGCTGAATAATTTTCTTTGCATTTTTAATTTGCTGCTTTCACCTAATGACTTTGCTTGTGTAAGGATTTTATAATGGGGGGACCTTAAATTTCCTGCAACATTTACGAAAAGGAAATAAACCCTTGTCTGTACAGCATGCTCTGAAGTGAATCGATAGTGCAAATTGCAGGTGCTTACTGGGGCTAAGAAAGAGCATTTGGATTACTGGCCCAGTGGCTGCAACTTCATTAAAATCCTGTAACTTGGCAACAAATGTCTGCAAGTCAACATGTCCTAAGGTAGGGGCAGGGGGGTAAGCAGGATGGGGAGAAAACAACCTACTATGACTAGAAGCTATATTAATGGGCAATTTTCTTTCTAAGTCAAGCCACCTCATGAAAATCTTTATAAGGATTCCCCAAGTATAGGTAATCCATCCTTTTTAGTACTTTTCAGAAAGTGTATTTTTCATTTTACAATAAAGCACATTGCAATATTTACTAATATTTTTTATGTTTCAATTTTCATAAAAGAAATGTTTGGTTTTTATATATATATTTCCTTGTGGCTATATATGCACATACATAGCTACAAAACAAACAGCAAAAGAAATTAAGAACCATATTTGTGTTTATATTATAATAAGCATTGAGATAAGACTAAAGATTCTTCCCAACATGGTGTGATGTTTTTCACATTTTGCCTGTGGCTGAAATGTCACTTTCTGACAGCCTGATCTCTATTTATAATAAGCAGAATGCTGGAAACAATCAGACAGCCAGTAAATTTGCAACAGTATTTGAAATAACACTTTGTCTAATACAGTGCCAATTCATTTTTCACTGTTTTTTATCACACTAGAGTAAATTAGAATTTAAACAGCAATATATGAGTCAAAGTCAAAGTAAAAAAAAAACAACCAACCCCTCATTGCTCTGAGGCTTTTCCTTACGTACCAAAGCCATGGCTTTGTTTTTGCACAGTTCATTTTCTATGCAGGTCTAAGCAGAAGCAGTAAGTTTCCTAGATAACCCAAGAGACTCCTAATTTCTGGAACCCTAGCTACTTGAATCTTCTGTTTTTATTAGGAGGGTTGCAGTGTAATCAGCCCTAATCAATGATGAGTCAAACCCTCAAAAATCAGGAGGTTGGTATAAAAGTAGTACATTCTTTTTTACATTCTTTTATATTTTACATTCTTTTTGTTTTCTGGGTTTTGCTCCTTTAAGATGTACTCAGGCTACATTTTCAGACTGTTATCTGCAGTAATGGAGACTAAAAATGAACTTTTTTTTTTACAAAATGAAAGCCTAATCTATCTTTGGGAACTAAGATTTTATACTGAATCCGAAATATCACAACACTCATGGTAATTTCACAAGAGTTGGCAATGCTGAAGAGCACTTCAGGAGATGCACACAAGGTTATATCTCTACTGTAACTGTAAATACATGACTTAGAATAAAACTAGCAAAGCTATGGAAAGTTCAAAGCTATGAAGGGCATCACTCTGCTGCTATTTATATACCTCAGTTGAGACGGCTGGGACAGCACTTTGTAATCTTTCTCTTTAGAAGAGAATTATTTGTGGAATACAAATAGAAGTCTAGGCTGGGTCTCTGTGACTAAGTACAGACAGTCAAAAAGCCTGAGGCTAAATTGACTCAGTCTTTGCAGGTTAGTTTAAGCTGCAGAGATTAAACAGAGAAACAACTGGACACACATTCACTTTTAATTCAGGAAATGCAGCCACATACCTGCAGTGGCTCAGGCCAGAAGCCAGGGGGGTGCTAAAACATGGCTCTCTGGCTCATAGCATGGGTTGTGTGTTCACTTCCTCTTCCTGCTGCCTCTGAAGTTTTAGCAATTTTCAGCTCATAATCAGAGCAGCAGGACTCTTCAGGGTTGCTCATCACTTCCTCTTCCTGCTTCCAGGTGCCTCTGGGTTTTGTAGTCCAGAGTCGCAGCCATCAGTAAGTTTTTAGCAGGGCAGGGCAGGGCAGCTCTGTACTTGGGGACAGAGAAGTTTAACCCCCCTCCCTGGCCCCAGATCCCAGCTGGGGGGGAGGGGGGGGCGCAGTCCCTGCCTCTCACCCCACACCTCCGACCTTCTCTGCTGGAGTAGACAGCCCAGCCCAGGGCTAGAAAGCATGCTGGGATGTTAGGGGACTGTGATTTAACTTGAATGAGGAAGGGGTCTGGAACAGAAGTTTCATAAACTGGTTTGACCCAAATCAGTAGAGTCTAATACTACATTCAACCAGGTTTATCTTAAACCAGTTTCAGCCATTTTGAAACTGATTTATGTGCACTGAACTTCTGTTCTGTTACAGGTTTAAACCAGTTTCTGATTAATTATAAACTGGTTTATGTGTAATTTCTGTCTGTAACCCGTATGTTAGCAAAGCAAACTTTCCTGGAGTGAGATCCCAGCCAAAGGAAAAGAACTCCCTGACACTCCTAAAAAATAAGAGGGGGGATGCCTAGACTATAAATTCTTCCATCACTAATATGCAGCTGGAAAGGAATTGATGGTAGCTTAAGCTGAGGCATTTGGATATGGCTGCTTAGTATCATTTATGTCCAAGAAATGATTAACTAATTCTTAGAAAATTTCCAGATTTTCAGATTTTTTTCTGTAACTGATGTCAGCATGAGTGAGAAGTTTTAAATGAGTCAGGACTGGAATCAGAGGACAGTGCAGAAAATGGATATGTATGAAACTGATCTCTATTACATCCATCCTTTTTCTGGTGATATTCAGATCCCTATAGGTTATGTACCTGTTATTAATGCTACCTTCCAGTCTCAGTGTAGCACGGAAGACTCTGATCTTTGCCTGAAGAGTCAAGGAGAATTTCATAGACTTCATAGATTTCATAGACATTTTGGCTGGAAGGGACCTCGGAAGATCATCGAGTCCAGCCCCCCGCCCGAAGGGCAGGAAGTCAGCTGGGATCATAGGATCCCAGCAAGATAAGCATCCAATTTACTCTTGAAGGTGTTCAATTTGGATGCTTGAACCACCTCCGATGGCAGGCTGTTCCAGACCTTGGGGGCTCGGACAGTAAAGAAATTCTTCCTTATGTCCAGCCTGAAATGATCTTGCAGTAGTTTATGACCATTCAACCTCGTCATCCCTTGGGGTGCTCTGATGAACAAATGCTCCCCCAGATACTGGTGGTCACCCCTGATAAACTTATAGGTGGCCATCAGATCACCCCTAAGCCTGCGCTTTTCCA